TAATAGTTCATGGACAGAAGGTGTATACAATGCAGAATGCTTATTTTAAAATCACTGTTGCTTTGGTTTGTTTTTAGTCACAAGATGTATTCTGAAATGTCAAATAGAATGAACAAGGCAGAAATTTTGTGTCTCAGCAGGGGGTCACAAGTTGATAGTAGCACCTCCACTGAGTGAGCCAACTAGGACTCTTGACTTTTGAAGGCTTAGTGAAGGGAGTCACCTGCCATTCCCCTCCCCATGTTGGGGTCTTCCTATTAAATTGAGGCCTGCTGTGATTGAAAATGAGTGTCTGAGTGGTATGGAGCTCAGCAATTGGATGCCACATCGAGTGTATCCTAGGTTCTGAGAGAGAGCATTGGTGTACATGTGTATGGAGTGCCACCATCAGATACCTGCCTGTGGCTTCTGGCCTGGGTCAGAAGCAAAGGGAATGGGAGAGGGAACTTTCTATTGGACAGCTCCCTGCATTGTGGTCCAATTCTCATGGGATCCTCTGAGATTGTCTGGATGGGGAGGCTGAGATTCCTAGTGGTTAACCTAATTAAGTCTACCTGGCAGGGAGGAGCTAGAAGGGGTGCTCACCAGATCTGTGCAGCTTCAGCTCTCAGGCGCCTGTTCTGTGAAGAGCAGCTCTTTGCATCCCCTTCTGATTTGAAGACTTGAACTGCCCCTCTCTCAGCCTCCCTATTTCTGGATTGAAGCTGCCTGAACTCATAGCAGTCCCACATCCACTTGGTCACTTCTCTGGATCCACTCCAGCTCCATGATGAATCAGAGGGGCAGCCGCTCGCCCTGTCCTGGCTGCGATAACCATCAGCCATTTCTGAAGCTTTCCAGGTGGCTCCAGCCGCTGTCCAAGAAGGGGCTGGGGGAGGAGTCCCATTCTGCAGGAGGTGCTGCAAGGAGGGAGGAGGAGGGCAAGAAGACAAAGGGAGGCGGGAGACCCAGCAGATCCTAGTGTCAGCTAAACACGTGGGACCAGGAACCTACAATGCCACCCCGCCATGCTCTCATTCTTAAAGTACTGGCTGATGACTACCATCAGTGTTCTGATGTCCCTTTCCATTATGCAAAGCATGTCCCCATCAGTGTCTTACTTGGTCTTCCCACAGCTGAAATGGTGGAGGGTGGGAATAGGGAAGGCTATAGAGAACAGAGGGTTTAGATTAGACTGGTTGGACCCTGGCTCTGCACTACACTCTCATCTCTGTTTTTCAAATGAAATTGAGAGTTTATTGATTTGCTTCGGGCTCCACAGGCTGCCTGCCATGGAGTTGAAAGGAGCCCTCAGGTCTTCTAATGCCTAGAAAGAGGCTTCCAAGGAGGGAAGGGAGAGCAGCGTCCATTCCTAGGGCTCTGGTTAGGGGCTGGTTAAAGTCCTGCTGAGGAATCTGCTTGTTTCTGTGTGCTTATGATCTGTTTGTTTTCCTGTAAAAGATCTTTTGAGAAAATACCTCCCTTTTTGGCTGAACCAAAGGGGAAAAGGACTTATTATCTTGTCTATACCTTGGTCTAGGCTAGATGTTCTAGAGCCAGGTGTGGCACAGCCCAGAAGAGGTTTGGACTGTGGTTTGTTAGCCCCTTCCTGCTGTGGGCAGGATACTGACAGTCCATGTGGCAGGTTTGGAACTGGGCTTAAAGTCTTCTGTCACACCCCAGGGCAAGGGGGAGGGGAGGGCTGCTGTTTCCTGCTATGGCTTTTGTCAACCCTACCTGTGCAACTCTAGCCTCCCTCACCCTCTGTCCTAAAGAGAAAGCTGTCTGTAGAGCAATGTATAGGTTCCTAGTAGAATGACAGTTCAGTTCAGCCCAGCCAAGGACGTATGATGCTGCTTTGCAGGGAGAGGGTGAGTGTAAAGCTCTGTGACCCTCTGGCCAGGAAGCATCAAAGGTAGATATAGGCCATCTACCTTTGAGAGGCTTAGGGAACTGGGTAAGGACTGGGGTGACACACTGCATCTTGACCAGAAGCCCGAAGCCCTGGTCTCCACCCTTAAGCAAGTTTCTTCTTTCTGTGGGCCTTAGTTATATCCTTAAAGGGCACGTGAATTACACACCTGCCTCTTGGCTGGCTTACCCAAATACCCAAATACCTATGATCAGCTATTTGTTTGTACTGTGACATGAGATAATGCTGGTAAGTGGTTTGGTATGGGCCTGACCCATAGTTGATGAGGTGCTCTGAAATTATGGTGGTATTGAGCACTGACAATCAGCACATAATTCTGACAGGACCTGGCCCATTCAGGGAGAACATGGTTGTTGCTTTCCAAAGTGGAAACTCCAAGGAGACTTAGTTCATCTGCAGCCTTTGTGAGGACTGGGAGGGTGAGAAGAAGGGGTTGGTAAGGAACCCAAGGGTTTTGAGGGTTTGGCTCAAAAAGAAGATATCCCTAGATCTAGGGCTGATGAAGGTGAAACTGGTCTGGAATCTATAAGCAAGGGTGCGTGAGAAAGGCCTTGTATGTGGCTTGGGCTCTCCGACTGATTGCTGAGTTGAGCTAATTAAGTCCAGAGAGGAGCTACTTCCTGGTCCAGGACTAGTATGTGGCAAAGTTTGTTCTACGTTCCTCCTGCCTTCCTTTGTACCACCTCCCCCATTTGTCAATCTGTGAACCTCAGTTTGTTTCTTCTCCTTTGCCGTCTATGTTCTGGGGATTCTACCCCAGCTTCGTCAAGTTTGTAGGGTACTGATGGGGCCCTGTTCCAGGGTCCTTTTCCCTTGATTGATAGACTTTGAGCTCCTTGAGGTCAGGGGCCAGGTCTGAATTACCTCTTGGTTTGTACAACCAGCATGGAGCTAGTATCCTTGAATGTAGCCCCTCTTGGCCTCAGTTGTTGGGCTAGCTAAGGCAGCACAGGTATGAGTTGGACCTTCTCCTTCACAGGTGCATGAGTGAGATGGGGGTGTGCTGAGTCAGAATACATGGCTCCTTGTGTCCAGCTTCCTCTTCCTGGTTGGCCTAAGGCTTGGGAACAGTGACTGTCTTTCTGGGGCAGCCAGGGCGCCTGGCCAGAGCATGCTCTGTCAGGCACTGTCAGCCCTTCAACAAGCTCCGATCCCACTCTTAACCTAGAGAAGGCCCTGGGTTACTGGTGTTGTTCTTGGCGGACCACCGGGCCCCTCAGCAAACAGGGAGGCGAGTGTGCACCCAGCCTGGGCCTGTTTGTGTTGGCCTCGCTATGCAGGGGATTAGCTCAGCTGGGCTGCTAATTGCCTCCGAAGTGCCGGCCTAGATGCTGACAAGGGCTGGGCCTCTAGTCCCCTCCTCCTCCAGTGGGCACAGTGCCAACCTTGGGGGCCTGGCCCAGAAGGGCCCCTTCTCTCCCCTGTCAGCGCCTGCTTGGCCTACACCCTTGAGATGCGGGCAGGGGGTCGCTAGGACTGGAGGTTCAGAAAGGGAATGGCCGGGGGAGATGCCTATGTAGTCATCTCCTGGGCCAGGCCAGGCCACTAACCATCCTTAGATACCTCCCACTGCCCCTCTTGAATCAGAGGCCTTCTGAAGCTCAGCACTTTCTTCTCTCACTAGGAAGCTGCTGGATTCTTCACCTCAGCCACTGCCCATAGGTCCCTCCACACCTCTTTCTTTCTTGTGTTTCTCCCTCTCTTCCTTGTGTGTATCTCCCCATGCAATTTCTAGCACTTTTATGCCCTTGTCAGTTACCTGTTTCCCTCACTTCCTTTCTACCTGCGTTCTGTGTTCTCCTAAAGCCTGTCTCTGGGGCCCCGTATTTTCCATGGACTGCTCGTCTTCAGGCCTGTGTTCCAAGGGCAGGTACCTAGGATGGACTCTAAACACAGCCACAGTGCCTGCCAGCCCAGCCTGGGGACTGAAAGCCTTCCATCCCTCATAAGTCCTCAGGGCCTGCCCCATGCTCCTGTAGCTCTGACACTTCCACTTCCACTTCTGATGGTGAGTTCCTTGGGCGTATCCACTTCAGCTCTTCCAGCTGGTGTCTGAGCTGCTTCACTTTAGTTTTGCTGGCTGCTGCCTAGATATCCTGGCCTCTGGGATTCTCTGCTACCTGGCGCTCTTTTGCTCTGGAATATCAACCTGCTTCTGACCTCTGAAATGGGGTCAAGGTCACCTGTTCCACATTGTTTCTACTTTCTCCCTTGTTTCATCCCCTCTTTCAGGCCCTTCATCTTATAACAACCTTAACTGTCTCCTTTCCTATGTTCCTAAAAACTGAATAGTGGTATTTATGAATTTACATTTGTTTAACTTTACATATGCTATTTCAACATGTCGAAGAAAATAGGTTCTGTCATTTAGCCCCATTTGAAGGGTGTGTGGGGGGGCGGGGGGAGGCAGCCCCCTATTACAGTGAAGAAATGAGTCCCCAGAGAGGATGATGAATTACATAAGGTTCCACATAGTGAAGAGTTGGCAGCTCGGGTTTCAAACTCAGGCCCATCTCCTTTCAATGCCTAAGACTTTCACAGTTCTAGAAGATGGCTGATCATAGAGACCTTCACTTTTTGGCTCCACAATCCTAGATTTTCCATATCATCAGTCCCTTCTCCTGTCTTTGGCCCCGATTCGAGGATGAAGTGTCCTTTTCTAACCACCCTACCACATTCCGCCAGTTATGTACAGATGCATGTGTGTTCTGCTGTCCTGTGAACACTTCCCTTCAGCCCTCACCTTACCCAGAATCTGGAAAGCCAAGGACACAGTCTAACTGTTCCCAGGTTCTGTGTACTTTTCAGTGCTGATGAGCACAGACCTGGTTTCCTTGATAAGGAGGAGGATCTCACCAGATAGAATAGGGGTTCCTAAGAAAGCCACCTTGGTTCTCCTCATTAGCAGGGAACCTTGGCTGAGGTTTTTGTTTTTTTTTTTTAACCCTAAGTATTGGGGCTTGAACTCAGGGCCTACACCTTGAGCCACTCCACCAGCCTTTTTTTTTTTTTTTTTTTTTTTTTTTGTGAAGGGTTTTTTCGAGATAGGGTCTTAAGAACTATTTGCCCAGCTGGTTTTGAACCGTGATTCTCCTGATCTTTGCCTCCTGAGTAGCTAGGATTACAGGCGTGAGCCACCGGTGCCCAGCTTGGCTGAGGTTTTTACTTCAGCTTTAAGATGGTCTCTGCCCTGACTCCTTATTCTGGCCTACCCTATTCCTGGAATTTACCTTTAGCTGTAGGCCTGATTCCTTTGCCTCAGGGCATTGCTGGAGCCTCCTGTGTCAACACCCACTTCACCAGAGCCTCCTCCCAGGTCTACACTCAGGAAAGATCTGGTATCTCATTATGGCCAAGGTTGAAATAGCTGGTCATGGCTCAGTGAAACATAGAGTGAACCTCTATGTGTCAATGGTGGAATTTCAGATAGCAGGTAGGTGGTCCTGGGGGCCTCAAACCAGTTTTTTGGAAGAAACAAGGCAAAGGGGGGGGGTCTCTACTTTAGAATAGGCTTTAGTAAAAATGTTTTTTAAATATGTGTTTAGTAAATAGTAATTGATTTTTCCATGTCTTCCCCAAGTCTCTATTCTCATCTCCCAATTCCACTAAAAAAAGTCATTGCCACAATTGCCAGATAAAGAAATAATCATTTTATCGTGCATCAGACTATGTCACAGGGATGTCACAATGGCAAGGAGCCTTGTATAAAAATTGGAGGATGGGGTGGGGCAATGGAGTGGAGTAGCAGCATCCAGAGCTGGTGTAATCCAGCCCTAGGCCTCAGAGGATATCACTTTTGCCTTGGGACAAGAATAGTGGAGAGTGGTTCATGCAGGATGTGGACTTTGTGGCCAGTTTCCAGGTCTCTGTGTGACCAAGAGTGTGGGCTATGTCGGGCCTGTGTCAAGTCCTCCTTTTTTTAGAGATAGTTTGAAGCTGGGCATGTGCAAGGAAGCTCCTTTTCCTGTGGCTTGTGAATTTCTTTGGCCTTGGCAGCAGTGGCAGTAGGACTCAGCAGTGGTTCCTAGAATGTGGTCTGATTCACCTAGGTCGCAGCCTTCAGAACCCCAGGAGGACCAGCTTTGAGGCACTTCCTGGCAGAGTGGAAAGGGGAGGGAGGCCTGCGATCAGGCACACATCTCACTTCTCTGCTCCTCTGCATGGGGAGGGTAGCTCAGTGCTGACTCTACAAGGGGGATGGCCCCACTGCTCACTCTGGTTGGGTCTGGCTCTGCCAGTAAGGGATAGTATTTTCCATGGTGCTGAGCAGGCAGTTGAACTAAGTCTATCAGAGGAGCAGTGGGCCCAACTGGGCAGCTGTGAGGACCCTTGGTCAGCTCAGCTTTCATCCACATCAGAGTCAGCCTGCCCAAGATTATCCCTATTTTCAAATGTGGCTCCAGCATCTCACTTGGTTTTGGCCTCCACCTTGGATGGACAATGAGCATAGAGCTTGGCTGGGGGATAAGGGTATTGACCCTTTTCGTGAGGGAGCCAACACCAAGAGGCATAAACCACGAGGCTTGGAAGAGAGTTTCTCTAGGCCTGAAGCCATATTCTGAATCTGAGACTTCACATTCAGACACTGAACCCAGGAGCCAAGAGTTTGGAATCCTGGAGCCCCAAAGGGGAACCCAGAGCTCAGGACTTCAAACCTAGAGGCTAGAACCCCAAAGTGTGAGCAGCTTGGACATTGGTCTGACAGCAAGTTCTCTGGTGGTTGGGAGCCCAACTGAGAAGCAGTTGGGTCTGAGTATATCCTGTTCACAAAAGTCTGGGCTGTGATCCTGATAGTTTGGTGGGTGCACAAGGTCAGGCCCCCGGCTGCTGTGCTGTCTCTTGGGGAATCTTTTGCAGTACTCACAGTACCTGGGGCCTCAGGGACCTGTAGGTCCTAGGAGTGGAGGTGTGGACAATTCACTAATCTGCCTTTCAGCTGTTCACTTCAGAGCCTTTTCTCCCTCTACAGGCATGTGGGACCCAGCTCAGCCTGTGGTCTCTGGCTCCTGCTGCTTCCCTGAACCTTTTCTAATAGCCAGAACTCCCTTCCCAAGACTCGGATCCAAGGAGATCTGCAGCATCTGTGTCTGGGTACAGGGATCAGGAGGAGCCTGGTTCTGCCTCTGCCAGGCAGGCTCATGGGGCTGGTGAGCATGACCTCATGCTGTGAACAGGGTGTGCACCACACTGCTCCCAAGATTGCTGTGATCGTCAAGGGAAATGCCCCAGTACAGGACATAGGACACGATATTTACTTAATAAATTTGTTAAGTGAGTGAGATATCAGGGGCTCTTTGCACAGCCTTTTCCTGTCTGTGTGTGAGATTTCCATTCTGTTTCACAGAGAACAGCATCATAAGGGATGACTCACATGGAGGTGTAACTTGCTAGGCCCAAGCCAGGATCTCTAGCCCTTACCTCACCTGCACTTCCTGCCTGGAAGGTGCAACAGAAGTAGAACATCTAGCTGCCTATGTGAGGGCTAAATGCACACTGTGCCCTTGATCTGGTCTGCCATTCCCTTTCCAGGGAGTTTGAGAGACAAGGTTACCAGGCTCAAGTTTCCAGAGGGCCCTGTGTAAGTGTGGGGTAGAAAGTTGAGAGCTCTTATTTTTCAGGTGATGTGACTTCCATCAAGATGGCATCTGTTTTCCCTGCCATAGGGCTCCCTGTTTCCCTAGATGGCAGGTTCCATAGCCACGTGCTGTAATACTCCTTGTTACCCACCTTAAGTCTGCAAGTAGAAAAATGGTCAGCAGTGGCCACATGTGGACAGCCAGGGCATGAGTAAAGTCCCTTTGGTCAGTGGCAGCCACAAAGGCTCAGGCATTGGAGAGGCCCCAGGTGGTTCCCTTGGGGTTGCCTGCCTGGTTTTGGCAATAAATAACATGAGGACCCAAAAACCAAACCAAAACAAAAAATACAACCAGTATCTCTTGGGGTAGGTGGTGGGAGCTGTTTAAATTATTGGCCTTTCCTGGGCCACTTGGGGTGGTTGTTGGGCACAGACTGGGTGCAGTCACCGGCACGTGTGCAACTCTACTAGCCGCTGGCACTGACGGCACTTGACGAAGCAGCACCAGTGGAATTTGCAGCTGCAGCGTTCAGCCAGCTCCACTTGTGCTGTGTGGAACCCACGGCCACAGCACAGCAGCTCACAGCCGTCAATGGCCTTGGATGTCTTGTTGCATGTGCGGCCTCTTGTACCCAGCACACCGCTGCGCATGTCCTGCTCACAGAAGTCTGGGCTAGGCTCCAGGTACACCAGGTCCTCATCTGTATGCGGCTTAAACTGTGCATTACGTGGCACCAGTGCCCTGGAGGAGCCCACGCGGCGTGGCTCCACCTCAGTAGCACCATCAAACTTCTCCTTCAGTGCATGGCCCACCTGGCGGAAGGGTGGCACGGCTCGCCAGCACGTCTTTACCTCACAGGATCCTGACACGCCATGGCACTTGCATTCTACCCGCATGTGTGTTAGGATGGCCTGTGGGGAGGGTTGGGAGAGGGGCCATCAGGAGGCGGCAGCAGAAGCTGGAGAGGGCCCCTCGGGGCTGACAGAGGCACATGGATGGGGGACTGCACAACATCAGGGACTCTGGGGCTGAGGCTGCAGAATCAGAAAGGTTACTGTCATGTGTCCTCTGTATTAAGCACCTACTGGATGCCATGCTGGGCTGGTTAGCAGTGTTGAGGACAGATGAATAAAATGCTGTTCCTGTGCTTGGGGTACTTGGAGTTGATGGAGGAGACACTAAAGGGCATGTCATGAAACAGTGAGTGACAGGGAAGGACACTGCTACACTTCATCTCCACAGAAACCTTAGGAGTAAGGCATCAGGGGAAGGCGTGGTGCCATAAGTAAGTGTATGATCTTTGGGGCAACAGAGAAGGGTTCAAATCCTAGCTCTGCTGCGTGTTGTGGTGTTTATGTATGACGGAGGCTGGATGCACACATACACATACACGTGTGTTTGCATGCATACGGACATATGGACAGGCCACTTAACTGTGCACCACCTGCTTCCCACCCAGCCTGTTGTTCTAGGCAGGTGTTCTTATTACTTGAGCCACTCCATCAGCCCCCCAGCCTGTTCTATACCCTGGCCTACAAAGTTGCCTCGTGCTGGTGAGAGCCTGGACATTTCCTGAGTGGCTGTGTGGGTGGGAGTGTTTTGGGGATCCTGCATGCTGTCCCTTCCCTAGTGCCAATGGGGGTTAGTGCCACACTACCTTCCTGCCGGCCTCATTGTTGTGGAGGTTCATGAGGGCTCGGCTAGACGAGGCCCCTTTGCTTCTCTCGCGCACGTCCACAAAGGACTGTGAGAAGGCCACACCGTAGGCAATGTTGTCCGAGCATCCTGACCACTGGAAGCCTGGGGTGTGAAGGGCGTAAAGAGGGCCGAGGTGAATGCGGACCAGGATCCGGGCCCCTCCCCTCCCTTACTGATCACCTCCTGTGCTTACCCTGTGGGCTGACCCCGTGCACTGTTCGGTCACAGCCGCATTTTTCCAGCTCCCCACTGCTGCATGCCCGTGTCACTGCAAAGGCCACACCTGCTGAAGAGATGGCATACACGAAGGCCGCCTCCCGAGTCCCTGTAGGAGGTAGAGGGAGGGCAGGGCTGGATCCTAGTGCTCCTCCACATCCTCCTTTGTAGAGAGGGAGGGGTAGCTGGGGCCTGCTGAATGCTGGAGGGCAAGGAGGGAGGAAGGCAGGTGGAAATGTCACATGCGAGGCACTGGACCCACCGAAATTATTGTGCCCCAGGCACTGCCCATACCTCACACGTGGATAAGCACATTCTCCCTCAGCCCCATGAGGCAAGTACTATGATTATCCACATTTTGCAGAGAAGTTTGGCTGCTTGTCACACAGCACGTGGCTGAGCCAGCAGACGGCCTTGCTTCAGGGCTCTCAACTCCCAGGGGGGCCACTGTTTTCACATCCTCTTTAGAAGAGGAATGACAAGCCAGGGCGGTGGCTCACACCTGTAATCCTAGCTACTCAGGAGGCAGACATCAGGAGGATCACTGTTTGAAGTCAGCCCAGGCAAATAGTTCTTGAGACCCTAGCTTGAAAAAACCCATCACAAAAAAAGGCGTGGCTCAAGTGGTAAGAACACCTGCATAGCGTGAGGCCCTGAGTTCAAACTCCAGTACCACCAAAAAAAAAAAAAAAGAGTGACAGTCATGTCATTTTATGGGAGACCAAGCAGGCTCAGGAGGTGAGCTGACTCCCAACACTACAGAGCCGTGAAGCTGCACTGCAACCTCAAGTCTGGCTCCTTTTGTCAGTCTCTCCCCGCTGGTCCCTCTCGGCTTTGAGGGGTCTTCCCCTTGTGACTCTGTCCTGGTTCTTCCTCCAATGCTGGGCCTATTGCTGAATGTCTTACCTCCTTAAGAGGCAACCATAACGAGTAATGTATTAACAGCAGCTCCTACTATTTAGCCTTGCTTCTGGTGACTAGGGTGCCTGTTGTGCACAAGCCCTCTGCCTCCTACCAGCTTTGTCTAGCCCCAGTGTAAACTGGGACATGCAGGTTCTGAAAGGGGGAGAGTTTGGTCCCAGTCACACAGCAAGGTGACAGAAATAGGGCTCACTCCAGCACAGGTCTGCCTGCCTCTCTGTCCCAGTTCCATACTGCCTGTGGCTGCACAGGATTCTATTTTGGTGCCGGCCCTCCTCCCCTGCCTGAATGGATGTTTTTATCCTCCTAGGAACTGTGCCTGGGGGTGTAGCTGTTGTGGAGTCACTTTCTGGGGGTGAGGTAGGGCTATGTGTGAGTAGAGTGTGCGTGCTGGCTGGGTGTGCAACCAGACAGCAGGCCCTGCTCCTCTCCTGAGCCCTGTGAGAGCCTCTGTGTGTTGTGACTGTCCTTCTGTCTCTTGCCATGGGGTCTGTGTCCGCAAGAGTGGTGGGGGCAGGCTTCAGCTTTGTGGTTGGCAGTTACCTCTGTGACACCCAGGCCTGTGCTCCCAGCTGCCCTAGGGAGCAGCCACCGTGGTCAGATGGGAACAATCACCTCCTCTGTGCCCGTCTGTGGACAGAGGCAGCTGAGGCTGGGTGCTGGGGTGGGAGGCAGCAGGGCCCTGACACTCAGGACGCCCTGTTCTTCATGCAGTCCCTGAGCTGGAGATACTGCCACCACCTTCTCCACTGTCCAATTCTGCTTGGCCATTTTGGGCCAGTACTGGGGGGCTTGGCTATAGCAATGGAGCCTTGACAGCCTGGGATGGAATCTTCTCCAAGTTAATAGTAGGCTCATGTTGGTTGGTTTTATTCTGTGGCCGCCCAGAGAGAGACAACTTCAGTTTCTGGTATTTCTGGTATTTCCAGGCTTGAACCAGCACAAATCTTTGCCCCAAAGACCAAGGGGGAAGGGAAGTCAAAGCAGGAGATAGGACTGATGGGCCTGGTGGGCGGCCTGGCCTCTTGGCCTTGTGTAGCCCCCTCTTCTTGGATTCTCTTGGCTCCCAAGCCCATCTCCAGCTCTGGAGCTCTGCCCCTGAGCTCTAGTGTCTCTTGGGGTTCAGGTCTCCCTGTGAAGTTGCTCATAGGTACCACTGCCTCATTCCCTAAACCAACATCCATCTGCTGGGACTCCAGGTCCCCTTTGCCTTGGCCTCAGTGGAAACATGGACACCACAATATCCTTGGCTTAGGGGGTGGCCCCGAAAGAAGAGATTCTGGAAGGAAGATAATGACAAAAGATACAATTTACAGACAGTGGTATGCTGGTCACTGATTATTCTACATATATTAATTTATATATTCTTCACAGTATTCTAGGAAGTGGACACTTTCAGCCCTCATTTACACATGAGGAAACTTAGCTGCTGAGTGGTGAAACAATTTGTCCAACAATGCCTGGCCAGGAAATGATGGAGTCAGAATTTGAACTCAGGCGGCCTGGCTCCAGAGCTTTCAGCTTGACCTCAGAGAGGCCTTGAGCAGTAGGAATACATCTCCTCCTACCTACCAGGTATAAAGCCAAAAGAGTTTCCTTAGGTCTCTCTCAAATCTTGTGTGCTACAGAATAAGCCCAGTTCTCTCTGTGGGTTTTTCACTTAGGGGCTGGGGAACAGTTGGTCTCTATGCTCTTGTTGGTTTTTTCTTCATTGTCCCCTGGCTCCAGTGTCTCAGTCCTGTGTGTCCTCTGGGTTCACCCTCAATGCCATCTTTTCCAAGGGGCTAAGGCTGCTTCGAATTGGGGATTCAGAATAATCCTGCAGATCAAATAGCAGTTACTTGTGGGGACCCACTGTGTGTTAGGGCCTTTTCACACACTGTCCAGAGCTCACAACAACCTTAGCCTCAGCTCTGTGTAGCCCTATTCTGGAGAAGAAAACATGAAGTGCAGGCGCTTGCCTGGGTCCCTCAGCAGCAAGTAGCTGAGTAGGAACTGGAACTGAGGCCTGTCTGACTCAAGGTCTGGGCTCTGCAGACACATCACGTGCGATGTCTCTCTAGATAATGAAAGGAAAGATGGTCCAGCAGGAAAGAGCATTTGAAGGAGATGTGGCAGAAGCCCCAGGCCTGGTGATCCCCAGGGGTACTCGGTAGGTGGGTATCCCAGTAGAGGCCAGGGAATGGACACAACTCCAGCATTTCTCCAGCAGACTCCGTGAAAATCTTAGGAAAGCAGTGCTGGACAGGCCCCACTGTCTAAGGAAAAGCATCTCCAGGAAACCTCTTTGGATTTAAGAGATAATGGAGGACCTGGAAAGAGTAAGCCTTTGGGCCCAGACAAAGCCCTGTTAGACTCACTTGTGGCGTGACCTTCCAGTGCTGCCTCAGCAGGCGGACCCTTGCATGTTCCCTGAGTTCCCTCCCACTGTTGTCATCCAGGACTCTAGGCCTGTCCATTTGCCTTCCTGCCCCACACCATGAGAATCCAGCTGCAGACAGTTTGAATTGTCCTGTGTGGCCTCCGTGGTCTCCAGGAACTCCTTTCCTGGAGGTGTCATGAAGGTTCACCTCACCAGAGCTCCTGTAACCAACATCTGATGGAATCAGAAGGCATCTAGAGAGATCACTAGGAGGAAAGAAAGCTTGTCCCCTTCCTGAGTCCCCTGTGATGCCAGTCCTGAAGACAAGGTAAGAGCATAGGTTTTTGTGAGGCACTGCCTGGGACTGAGGAGGGCTCTTCTTGGGTCAAGACTTATACAAGTCTTTCCCATGCATTATGTCACTGCATCTTGGTGACAGCCCTGTGAGGTAAGCACGTAACAGGTGAGGACACCAAGGCTCAGAGGAGTGAAGTCACCTGTCCAAGGCCTGCCTGGCCATGCTCTCCCTCTGCCTCATCAATCACCCTGGATTTCCTAGAGCCAGCCCTTTGCTTCCAGGCCTCAGGGCAGACAAGTCCCTTTCCCTTTGCTCGGTAGAGATGACTTAAGTGTTCCGAGAAGAATTTTACTAGTGAAGAAAACCAGATAGAAAAGGAAGGAGGTGGGTGAGTGAGAAGAGCTGACTCGTCCTCCAAACATGACTGTGTCTGCCTGCTGTGACCAGCAGGTCTTGGGTACCTTGGCTCAGCTTCGAGGGGACTGAAGCTGTGACTAAGCTACTAGGACTTCAGTCCAGAGCAGCTTCCACCAAGCCTGGCTAGATTCCCCTATCCCCCAGAACTTGCTGACAGGGCTGGTCTCCTCTTTGGCTTCTGCCCACAGGTGATGAAGCCTCTTCTTCGTGGGGTCCTGAGGACCAGCATTGACCTGTGCCTCTATCCTTGCCCTTTTGGTCCTTCCCCCCAACTTGCTTTCTGTCACTAGGTAATGTACACTGACTGTCCCCCAAGCCAGGCTTGGCTATGTGCAGGTAAACAGGTAGGTAAGCCGTTACCCTTGCCTGGGAAAAGCTTAAGACTCAGCGACAGAGGAGTGGGATTGGGTGGGGAGATGTCACACTGCAGTCTGGAAGGGTAATGAGGCCGTGTGAACATGGGTGGTTTCCACAGTGATGTGTGTGTGTATCTATCATGTATAAATACAGAGTATTGAGGCAAATGTGTTAAGATGTAAACACCTGGAGAGTCTAGTAGAGGATATACAATTTCCTAATACTATTTTCAAAACTTTTCTGTAAGTTTGAAATTATATTAAGAAAAGAAATTACAAAAAAGAGAGGAACCCCCCCACCCACATTGAGAATACAGACCTGGCTAGGTGTGGTGGTGCACACTATAATCCCAGCACTCAAGAGGCTGAGGCAGGACAGTTCCAAGTTGGAGGCCAGCCTGGGCTACATAGCGAGACCCTGTCTCAAAACAAAACAAACAAAAAACTCCAACCAATCAAACAAATAAACAAAACCCCATAGAGGCTTAGAGCCTAACAGGAAGGACTGGGGAAGCTCAGAGGGAATGGTTGAGCTGAGTGGATATAGCCTGTGTAAAGGTCCAGAGGTGAGACAGGCCTAGCATAGGAAACCCTGTGGATCTATCTGCCAATCTGTCCAAAATACACCCTGCATAACCACTGTGTGTACGGAGTTTCCTGATCTCCAAGTCTACCATATGAGGCTGGCTCTGGAGCCTTGCCAAGCAAGTGGCCCTGGGCCCTGGGCAGTGGCACCATCATCCTGGGAGATTCTCTACTTCCGGGCTGTTCACTGGCTCTCTGCTTTTCGAGAGCAGAAGTGCCAAGCGTAATCGTGCCTTTTTGGCCCCTGCCAACTTCCAGGAGAATGGCTTCCAAATTTCTATCACAGTTGGTTTCCAACAACATCCAGATGGTTTGCCAGGCCCAGCAGCCCTGGCTGTCCAGGCCCACAGGTGCCAAGACACAGGTTGGCCCAGGCAGTCCCTTCCTGCTGCCTGAGAAAGTCAAAGGGCCCTGTAGACGGTTGATGGCTCAGAAGTGTCAGCTGAGGAAGTAGAAAAAGGCAGATGGCTCACAGACAGTTCCTCGAGGCTCAACCTGGTGCCCTTGAGGAGCCTTCCCATTTCATAGAATCGCTACACCTTGGCCCATCTCCCTTTGGCTTAATGCCTCCTTATGTTTCTAGGCTCAGCTGAGGGCCTGTCCCCTTGGGAAAGCCTTCCCTGGGCACCTCAGCCTTGGTCAGGGGAGAGGTCCAAGTCCATGTCCCGTTCCTCGTGGTGAGAGCACAGACCTTGTAGTGGGATTACCTGGGCTCATGTCCTGGCTTGGCCATTTTCTAACTCTGTCAACTTGGGTAAGTTACTTAACCTCTGTGTGCCTCAGACTATTCATTTGCAATACAGAAGCCTGTCTCAAAGGGTCAGTGAGTTAATGTTACTTTTCTGTGGTACTGGGGTTTGATCTCAGGGCCTTGTACTTGCTAGGCAGGTGCTCTGCCATGTCAGCTATGTCTCCAGCCAGAGTTAATGTTATTTACAACCACTGAAATAGCATCTGGTTCATAGTTAGTGCCACAGATGTGTATATTTCTCCTCCTATTGTGCTGTTCACCACTGGACTGTGAGCCTGAGAGGACGGGCTGGTGCCATTCGCTGTATCTCAGAGCTGGAGGTACTCTATATGGTTTGTCAGGTGTATAAATCCATGAAATGGACTCAAATTCCCAAAGCCAAGTGCTAAGGTGGGAAGAGGCTAGGATGACTACTCTTCAGCCTCTAAGGAGCCTGGGCCAGCTCAGCCCCATTTCCTGCCTGAGTCTTGCTTTCTTCCTCTGTACAACAAGGAAGGCCAGGGGCACTCCCGAGTCCAGGAGTACTGCATGAACACAGGCAGCATTCTCCTCCCCTGGGGCCCTTCCTCGACTTGCTTCTGCCTGGCTCCTTCCCCTACCCAGCATCCCTCTACCTTGTCCTTATTCTGTCTCTTGGGTCCAGCCCTGTGCTGTTTGGGCTTCAGAAGTGACGTAGAGTAGCCCAGTTACTCATGAGTGTTATTCTCGGCCAGAACCTGTGCTAGCCCTGCCGACCCCCTGCAGCCCCCACATGCCCTTACCCTCCTCCCCTCACCTTGCGTCACCACCTTGCCAAAGACGGGCAGGGAGTCAAGCGTGGAGCAGTTCCAGCGCCGGTTCCGGAACTGGTACTGGCACTCCTCAATGGCCAGCTGGGCACCGCGGCGCACCGAGTCCATCACCTCCAAGTTCCGCTTGCACATCTGCACCTGCCTCTGGATCAGGCCCTTGAGCTTCTCACACGTCTCCTCCTCAGAGATGCTCCCCACCGAGGACAATTTGGCCAGATACCTGGGGAGAGAAGAGGGAGGGGGGATATGATACAGAGTTCACTTCAGCACCTGCTCTCCTCTTTCTATGCCCATGACTCTGGAATCTGACTTGTCCCAGCAACTGGTCCTGGTCACTGACTTCTCTCTAGATCAGGGACAGGCCTGTGTCCCCAGGTTCACAGGGGCTGTGGACACATGTGTGAAATCTAACATGAGGCCTGAGTCAATGAGGCAGGAACTTGCCATTTATTTTCTGAATGAAGAAATGAATGAGTGCAGGTGATCAAATCAAAAAGTACATAGAAAGTCCTATTAAAATGCGGAAAAATTTTATGACAATGATAATAAGAAGAGCTAACTTTTATAGAAACCAGTCAGGACTTGGTTAAATACTTAATATTATTGCATTCAATTCTCAGCAACCCAACAAACGCCCATTTAAAAGAGAGGGAAGCTGAGGCATGGACAAGTAGATTGCCTTGTGTGAAAGGTCACACAGACAGTGAGAGGTGGAGCAGGACTTGAACCTGGTTTTGTCTGTGTTTGCAGCTTCTAGCAGCAGCAATATTCTTTTATACTACTCAAGGTCTAGCATCGACACTGTGGGCAGAAGCTGCTAGGAGCTGGGTTTGCTCGACTGAAGGATGCTGGCTGAGGTGCAGTGGGTGAACTGCCTCCCCACCCCTGAAGGTGTACAAGCAATGGCCATGTTCTAGTGGTCAGACATATGGGTTGGACCAGAGGGATAGTTCTGGAATATGAATGTGCACTGAAATATGACTGTGCACTGAAAACATCTGCAGGGTTTGTGGGATGCACAGATGCCTGGGCCCCTTTTCAGGTGGGGCTTGGTGTGCATCTGAGTTTTGGATATTGCCCCAGGAGTAGCTGGGAAGCCACTGGCCTGGAGAGCAGCCTTAATTAAGCATCAGTGATACTTTCTGCGGAGCCTGAGGGGGCTTAGCCAGAGACACCACTGTCCCTTCACTGTGGAATCAGCCCCAGAGAGTTTTCTATCATCCCCTGCCTGTGAGGCCAAGTCTGGCTTTCCTTATCCATAATGGAGTAAGAGCTCCTATCAAAGGGCTGCTGGGAGGGCTGAACGTAATGGGATTGTGGCAATTTATCTGGCTCTCAGCTAGGTAGCTCAGGTGGCTTCCCTGGAAGCACAGATAAGCCAGTAGGAGGTGGGTGGTCTCAAGGTGAAGCAGCCCAACCTCCCCCTGCTCACCTGCATTTTGTGTCTCCCAGGGCCCCTCCCTTTCCTATCAGGTCTAGCCCAGGGGATGTACAGAGATTGGTAGTGTCTTGACCAGGCCCAGGCAGGAGCCTGAGCCTCTTGGTAGGTACAGGGTGAGAAGATACCCAAGAGGCAGGAGAAGTGGGAGGCCCATTCCTCAGCCCTGCCTGGGTGCCCTCTGCTTCAGCTGCTGAGGAAAGGGGCCTCCTACAGAGCCAATCCCACCTGTCTTGGCCTGCAGGGGGCGCCAAGAGCCCAGCTACTGGCGATGGGCCAGGTCCACGCTCAGAAGGTGCAGGGTGTCCTTCCGTGAGGGGACAAGAAGTTGAACTGAACATTGGGTCCTTTCCTCTCCCACCCAGGGTGGGATGCAGAACAGGGTGGGGGTCCCTATTCCCTTTGTGACGTGGAAGCAAAGAACTGGCCTGTCCCCCAACTAGGCCTCTGCTCCGTGTCTGGCTAAGCAGCAGGTCTGGTGTGCTGGGCCCTGGCCCCTGGTAAAGGGAGGCATTCAAGGCAGGGTCATTCAGGCAGGAGGAGCAGGCTGAGAGCCCCAGCTGAGCCACCAGCCCACTGTGACCTGGGCAAATCCCCCACTCACAGCCTGTCTCTTTATGGGTACAATGAACGGAGAGGCCTATGTGGTCTTTCCCACTGTTGGAGTTGATGGTCCTCCTCCCACTGGAGGGGGGCTGTCCAAGGAAGGCTGATATCTGCTCCCCTGGCCCCCATCACTGAACAAGGGGAACAATGGCCCTGAGGAGCCCTGCACTCTTCCCCTAGGCTGGGAACATGACAGGGAGCAGGTTGAAAAGAGAGTAGCAGGACTTGGGGGAGCTTCTAGGCTGCCATGGCTGTAAGTTATCAGGAGAGCATCCAGGAAGAAGATGAGAAATTGCTTCCAGGGGTATCGATGCCCGCCACCCAGCCCTTCCTTCACCTGGCACAATAGCAACCTCCCCCCAACCCCCTGCCACACCATGCATGGAAGACCCAGCCCGGGCCACCTTTGCCCTCCCAGAACCTAGGGCCTTGTCTAGGGGCCTGGGGCCCAGTGCCAGAGCTGAAGAAGAGTTGGGCCTGGGCTGGAGAAGGTTAGGACGCCAGGCATCACAGGCCCAGCTGCAATGTTTTCATTGGCTTGTCCTGGTGTCTGATTAGTGCCTGGCCTCATTCTATAGATGAGCAAACTGAGGCCCACAGAGGTGAAAAGACTTGTCCAAAGTCCTACAGCTAGTACCCGGCTGTGGATCTGCCCTGCTGGATTGCTGGGGGTCTGCCATTGCACCCTGTATCATTCTGGACTTGCACAGTGCATGGTACATAGAAGGTGTTCCCTAAATGTTTGCAGCATGGCAGGTTGGAGGGCGTTGTCCTGACAAGCTTCCTCTGCTCACTGGGCAGAGTACTTGAGGCACAGAAGAGCAGGAGTGAGAAGGAGGGTGGGAGTAGCCGAGGGCCTGGAGTCAGTGAGGGCTGATCCCAGTTGCTCCTAAGGGCCTCTGGAGTCCTCTCTCAGTGCCTGACAGTGGCTCAACCTTTCCCCCAGAGACACGTGTGTTGCTCGCTGACCTGGGATCTGGGCCAGGCTTAAATAGCAACTACATAAGCCATTTCTGGGGGAGACAGAACCAGGGCCTGATGGGTGGCTGCCACTGGGCTGGGCCTGCTGTGGAGGCCCCAGCCATCCCTGCTTCTTCTCAGGTCCTAGTTGTGCTGCCCTAGTTTAGGCTTCTTTCTGACACGGCTGAGTACAGGCTTAGCAATTTGCCACCTGCTCCCCTGGCCACCCAGGACTCAAGCCATGGCCGTGCCATCGATCAGGTTTCCCCCACCAGCCCAGGCCGCCCCTGCTGCTGCTGCCAGCCAGCTCGTGCCCAGTCTTCTCAAATGGGGGCTGCAGGTTCTTCGAGCTCCTCCCAGGAGGCCCTCCCCGGCCCTGGCCCTGCCAGGGAGATCAGATCCTCTCGGCCACCTGCTGTTTTCATTAGAAACTAAAATTAGCTGGGCTTGTCCCAAGCTTTTCCAGGTTTGCTTGCTTTTTTAAACAAAATATACAAATTCCTAGAGACGAATCCACACCTCTGCCACTCCCCCCACCTCTTTCTCTGTGTGGCAGGAAGAGAGGGGAAAGGAAAGAGCTGGAGTATTAGGGAGCTCAGGCCAGTTAGTGTCACTGGTCCTGGCCCTGCCAGTGTCCAGGTGGGGGCTGGGACACCAGTCCAGGCTTCTCTGCCCCCTCCCTTTGGCCTCCCTGCCTGCCCAGGCCACATTTAGAGCCTCCTCAGGAGTGGTTGTGCCTGTGATACCAGGGAGGAAGGAGGCCAAGCTGGTGGGAGGGGGAGCCGGAAGGAAACAGAGTGTCTGCAGCAGAGCTGCCTGGGGGACAGGGCTGAGAGGAAGTGAGATGACCACAGGGCTCATCCAGGATGGTGTTCTTAGGGAGTGGGGAGGGGTACCTCCCCCCAATCATTGAAGATCTTGGGATGATCCTCTCCTTTTTTTAGGATGATTCTTTAACTAAGCTCTGAATAGGCTACTGCCCTCCTCTCCACAGTGTCCCCGTCATGGAGACCCTGTCCCTCACGGCAGGCAGCGCAGTCAGGGCATGTACTGAGGGGCAGACAGTCTGGGTCAGAATCCCATTTCCGTGTCACCTGAGGCCAATTAGTGAGCATTTCTGAACCTCAGCCTGTTCATCTATGAAACGAGGATGTTAGGAGGCTCAAGGCAACTGTGCCCAGCAGGCCCAGCTCCTCTGCCACAGCACTGATGGTTACCCCACCGTGTAGATATTCTCCATGACACTTCCCATGCCACCTCTCCCAGGTCCTCCGTGGTCCCTCAGGCTGCACCCTCTGCTGGGCCTCAGCCAGGTAGCTTGGGTCTGCACATGGTCTGTGGCCGGGCTCTCTCAGCCCCCACGTTTTTTCAGCTGAGCACCTCTGGAGGGTAGGATACATTTTGTCGGGAATAGTGGGTCACTTCAGCCTCCATTCCGAATGCAGATTTTTGAGAATCTCCAGGAGAGTTTGCAGAATAGGCTCTTGGTGCTTCTCACCCATCTGTCTGCAAGGACTGGGGGTGTGAAGGGCAACAAAGAAGAGATGGTGTTGCCAGGAGATAAGAGCTGGGGACATTGGGCTGCAAAGGGTTGGGGCGGTGGTGTCCAGGACAAGCTCAGGTGTGCCAAGGGGACACGGAAGCCATTTGGAAAATGAGATGACTGGTAGTATGGACCTGTCACCTATACTGTCAGTCAATAGGCACCTGCCTCAACACATCTGTATTACCACAGTGCAGGGGTGGCCAGGTGGGGTCTCCCCCTCCCCTTCACAGATGAGGGCCCTGAGGCGGGAGATGTATGTACTCAAGGTGGTGCAGCCCATCAGGGGTGGTCAAGATTTGGAAGCAGGTCATTCTGGCTCCTGGGCCTGCCAGCTGGCTGCTCAGGCTTTAAAGGTGGCCCCAGGCACTAAAGGGAGGATAGTTTGGTGTCACCAGACACTGACCTGAGTGAGGTGGCCTGATTCTTCCTTGGATGGTCTTTCTAGAGCTCCCTGTCTTTGCTGAGCTACAATGAGGATGTCGAGGTGCTTTTTGGAGTGAGGGGTGCAGAGGAGGGAGATGACTTGGTGGACATATGACTGCCTGGATAATGTCACCTGGGCCTGTGGTCTCTGTAGCCACTGGAGTTCTGGAAGGAGGTGCTGTCACCGGCCCGAACTCCCTGGAGGGAAGCCCATGGGGAAGGCGTAGCTTTGGAGACTGTT